TTATTATTAAGCAGTGTATTCCCTGCATTCTGTACAAAAGGCTTTTTTGTGCCATAAGGTGGCTTACATTTTAATTATCCTGGACACACTAGTTGGGGGTAGCATTAGATTGTGTCCAATCCAAGTATCCATGAGTAGAAGTGAAGTGGTGTAGAAGTCATGTAATAGAAACAGTAAAAGTAGTTAAAAGACCTGAGAGGCTACATACCGACGGGCTTTCCTGTAAATTCCTCTACATGTTCTCCCGTCTCCGTGCTTGGTGGGATTGTTTGGGCTGCGGAACGACCACTGGACACTCTGAACACCACAGGGCCCCAAACACTCTCCCCACTCAGACCACGATGACCAGCCACAGTGCACTGCAGGAAGACAATCCCGACTGTGTATGACTGCTCAGACTTTAAGGCAGATGAAGAACGATACCCAGTGTGTGGGTAACAATCAACTCTGGATTTATTGCTGATCTTGAAATTAAGTCAACAGACTTCACAGAGACAGACTCACCTGAACAGTCTGGGTTAGGCTGGCATCTCTGAGGCCTTCCTCTCTCACAAACACAAATCTCACAGTCCACCTTCATCTGCTGGCCCGGCCAGTAACGCACACCTGCCACCTCACAAACACACTTCTCTGGTAACACGCACTGTTGCATATGGCTCATGACCTGGCCCTCTGGACACCAACAACCTGAAGTAATAGGCACATTGATTGTGAAAAAACTTGTGAGAGAAATGTAAAAATTTACTAGAAAATTTCAAAAATGCATTTAGAAAACAGGATATTCCAGATTCCTCCTGACTGACCCGAAGAGCAGGGTGCTGTTGGATCACAGGTTGTCCCACTGCTGATGTGGGCGCAGGACATCGGGCAGGGAGCACAGCTGTGTCTCACCAGCCCAGTGGGACAGCTGGTGTTGGCACACCCATCATCAGGACACGGCTCTGTAGGGGGACAGGGAAGAAAATGAGTGAAGTTCATTTTCTTTTTTTTTATCTTTTAATCCTGCTTAGTATTCCCACTTTCTTTGCTATTGTTGCTTCTTGATCAGATCAATTTTTAGAATTGAAACCACCATCAGATACGTTTTGAAGCAACAATACCTGCTCTTACTAAGTTCCATGAATACGCTGAAATTCTAATGGCACACATTTTCTCATTTGCCTCTAAGGGTATCAATTCATAGAGATAGGTATGTTTTTTTGATCCAAGAATTGGGATATTTATTTTTGGGATTTCTACCTCCACTCCAGTATATTGTAGCTGAATAGAATTTTGTTTATGGTGCTCACAGCAATAGAAAAACTACAATCAGCAACTTATCTTTCCTGAGATTCCTGGTTGCTCTGGAAAATCACTTTTTACTTAAACTACTTTCTAACAACAAAGTGGCCCTGTGTAAACTGTTGACAGTGTGTTTTGGGTGAATCAGTCCTCTAAAGTGACCACTTCTGAAAGGCTTTTCTTTCCATATTTCCATCCAGTGATTTTTAGCCAGTAACACCTTCATTTATTTTAGTTGAAGCTTAGATATACAGAACACCCTTACTGATTTCCATGGCTAGCTTGGATGGCCCTGGGAGCTGGGAACAGTCTCGGCCTCCATAGCGAGGAGGGATGCAGCCTCTGTGCCTGACCTGCACTCCACCACAACTGCTGGAACAGTTCGACCAGTTCACCCATGGCAACCACTGACCATCCACTGGAGGGGGGAGGAGAATAAATATTTGATTTAAAACTATGCATCAAAGCTTTGCGTCTTTATATTCTTAAACATATTTTTTAGTTCATGTCCTTGTTCATGTTCAGTCTTTTAGCCCCTTACCAGGGCAGGTGGTGTTAAAGCATTGTTGCCTCTGGAAGTCCTGTCCCCGACAGTGGCGCAGTGGGTCCCCTGGAGGGCAGGTTCTCTGCCGGCTCATGGAGCCTGTACCACAGGAGGTGCTGCAGGGACTCCATGGACCCCACGAGCTCCAGCTTCTACAGCCCTGCTCATCAGTGGGGCCTCCAAGTGGTGCTAGTGCGGAGTCCGGACAGTCTACCACACCATTACACACCTAAGTAATTAGTGGAAAGGGATGGGTTGAATATAACTGAGGGGGTCAAGCAATTTTTTTTGTTTTGCTGCTTTCCATCATTTTTATGTAATTATTGTGAGAAAAGAACATTAATTTTTTTCATGTTTTTTATGATGCATGCTGACAATAATTAACCAAGATGACTGTTAATTAGGCCATATCACCATATCTGTATCATGTTCATGTTTAAAAATCATTTAAATTGTAAAAAAAAAAAGCCAATAATATCAATGTGCAATAATTTTACAAACTTTCTGAACAATTAAAAAAATTGAAAAAATATTTTTTCATACATTTTTGTGTGAAAATCCTGTTAACATCCTCAGGATGATGGAAGATGATAAAACTTCCTCTAACTTCATGGTACGAAAGAAGGAATTCTATCCTTTTTGTCACCTATCCAATCACTCGCTACCAACTAAATACATAAAGTTTGACTTGCCGTGGTGGATATCATGTTGGTTGTAGACTTACCATGTTGAAGGTGACACAGGATCCATCCATACAGGTGAATTCAGGGCAGGTGACAGTGGTGTTCCTACTGCCAGGGGGCGCTGGTGACACAGCTTTATCGGGATAGAAAATACATTTTAATTTTTTTATCAAACATACCAGAGATTGCAGGATCCATCACCATCAGATTTGTGAATGTGGGAGACTGGGATGTACACCTTCCATTCTTTAAACATTTTGTCAGGTCCGCTACAGTCCAACTCTTCACTCCATCCATCCTCACTTCCATTCTCACCTCTCTCTTCTCTGTATCTCGTGAAAACTCACCACACACCAACTCATCGTCACCCCATGGACAGTCTGGAACGCCGTTGCACACTTGCGACATGTTCACACAGGTGCGGTTGTCACACGGGAAGCTGCCTGGGCAAGGAGGTATTCGAGTAGAGCCTAGCAGAGAGATGGAAGCATTGTCAGTGTTCATTAACACAGTTTTTGTGGCCTGCTCATATAAACTCTAGGGTTGCTCAAATGCCCCATGTTTCTGTCATTTTGTGCCTTTTTTTGTATTTTTGTATTTTGTATTTACCACAGTTGTCGATACTCTCGTCCGAGGCATCCCTGCAGTGTGGGATCCCATCACAGAGCTGCTGGTAATCCACACACTGGTCACCACTGAAGCAAGGCACCTGGCCAGGGCCACAGGGGGTGGCACACTGCTGCTCATCACTACCATCCATACAGTCTGTTTCCCCATCACAACGCCAAGCCTGAGGCACACACTGCCCACCGGTGGCACAGCTGAACTCATAGGACCTGCAAGCTGGAGAAACTGGGGTGCATAAGCAACACTGAATACTGCAAAAAATCTCCAGTATCTCTAAATCCTGACTATTGTTACCTGAAGTGGGCAGAGTCGGGGTGACAGGTGAAGGGGACTGGGTTACGATAACAGTGTAGCAGTTGGTTCTGTTTTCATCCTCTCCACTTGGACAGTCTGTTGTTCCATCACACAACTTAGTACTGGCAATACATGTACCATCACTACAGGCAAACTGGTCAGGAGCACAGGTCACTGCCACACACAGAAAGGTTTACGGATTCAAACTATGCAGGATTGCTTTGAACAAAAACATATTTACCTTACAGCTGACAAAATTTTATATGAAAATATATTATTTGTACCTTTACTTGGACAGACAGCTTCGTCTGTTCCAGAGGGGCAGTCTTTATGTCCGTTACACACTCTGTTTGCAGCAACACACTGGTCCCCAGGGCACTGAAACTCCCCTGGGGCACAAACACACCTAAAACCAGCCAAAACATTTAGCTCATGATGACATCATGCTGTGAAATCCATAATTCATTAGATGAGTGCTGCCATGAAGCAAAACCGCAAGAAAGGTAATTGGGATGAAAAGTATAAAATAACACTCATTATTTGATGTCATTTCCTTAAAATACTGTTTAGGGTCTGAGATATTGGTGCCATTGAGATAATGTCAACTAGTATCTAAGTGTCAAGATTTTTTGATTAAAAGCAGTATCCTTAGCTGGACAAACTCTGCAAAGCATTTTTTAAAAATACCAGTCCATTTGACCATTAACAATCCCAAACACCAAAACTGAAAACACACCCCCTCTCATCACTGAGGTCCCCACAGTCATCATGTCCATCACAGCGGTGGAGGTAGAGAATGCAACGGCCTCCAGCACACAGGAATTCCCCTTCGTCACACACCACACCGCAGTCTGGACCAACGAAATTAGAGATCATTACAAAGTCAGATGCATACTGTACAGAAAAGTAATTCAAGTATGCCCTCACGTGAAAACACAAATAACAAGATGTATATGGAGTATGCTGCTGGATAGAGTGATTACCTTGCTCATCGGACCCATCAGCAAAACCACAGTCCAGTCGTCCATCACACACACGGCTGGCTGACAGGCACTTTCCACTGGCACACTGAAACTCCCCTGGTGGGCACAGGGGTACGGGGGTGGTAGGTCCACAGAACTCCTCATCTGATTGGTCAACACAGTCTGGGTGGCCATCACAACGCAGAGCCAGGTTCAAACATGATCCACTGCAGGGTTGGGGTCAATTCACTTTATTCACAATAGGAACAGTGACTCTTCCAAATATAAAAACCAGTCAGAGGCCTGTAAGGCTGTAATGCTTGTTACTCTTCAAACATTGTGAAGAAGATGGATAAACAAATGGGGATAAAGATTTGTAGCGGTTACATAACCACTAGTGGGCTAAATATGTATCATTTGTATCACCATGTTAGTGTGGTTAGTCTATCTTAAAAAATGCCTTTATTCAGTTATAAAGGCTTGAGGTTATGACCTTGTGGTTGACTTATTGTAGCTAAGCTTCATCTCTTGGTCCTTAGTCTCTAATCTCCACACATAGAAACTGTGCTTGTTGATGAACTAAAATGAGTTTGGATTCACCTTGGCGTGCTGGTACAGCGGAATTGGTCTGGAGAGCAGGTTGACGGGCAGAGCTCATCTGAACCATCGCCACAGTCATCCTCGTTGTCACACACCCACTGGGATGGGATGCAGCGCCCCCCAGCACAAGTAAACTCCGATTCCAGACAAGGAGGGGAGGGAGGAGGGCAAGCCACACCCTCGCACTGCCACACACCATCCTCACAGGAACTGGACACACAAAGGCAAAGGAACTTTTGATTATTATAGACAAAGGGAGTGGAATATAGTTTAATAAGCATTTTGATTGACTGACCAGTTCTGGCAGTGCTGAGTGATGGTAGTTCCAGGTGGGAAAATAGAGCCCTCCCACTCACATGGACACTGAGTGGGAACTACACAGCTCTCTCCTGTAGAACAGAAAACATACTGACATACATAATTCTGCTATTCTAAGAGCTTTGCCAGTTTGTCCTAAGGGTAGAACTCCCATGATGTGTCCAAAAGAGAAATGGTTTATCCTCTAGTGAGCATGAACGTGATCTGTACATTTCAATGCAATCTGCCCATTATACTCAAAAATTTTAAAAAGTCTGGCATATTGGTGGTGTCTCATAAATGATATACATAAATTGAATAATTAAGGTAAATCCTGCAATTAGATTTGTCGTGGTCCAAAGTGTTTGTCAAGGAGAACCTTTGCTCTGACTAAGAAGTTAAGTGAAAGGTCAGTTGGTCACTAAAGCATGAAAAATCACCCTCTGGGTAGCATGAAAATCCACACCAAGTGTTGAGGAGAATGAGACTATCCATAAGTGATAGAAATATGCCCAGAAATACACATATACATACATATATATCACTCTCAGTGGCTCAGGATTAGTATGCTAAATCTGTCTCACCATATAGGACTGTGCCAGCAGGGCAGAAGCAGCCCTCCACACAGGACAGAGCACCACACTGGGAGTGTGGGCTCTGCTGAACACTGGGACATGAAGGAGAACAAGCTGGACCACAGGGATCATACACCAGCCCGTTCTCACACTGCAGAGCTACAGAAACAGAGAGCAAGAAAAAAGAAAGGCAGCAAGACCAGGACATGAAACAATGGTTACAGAGATACAGTAAAAGACATGAGTAATGATGCGTGTGCAGAAGATTGACTGTGTGAGTGTGGGGGTGTGTATGTATGGTGCGTCTTGGAACATACGACAGAGTTCCTGGGACCTCCAGCGGATGTAGACCCCTCGGCGGTTACACTCTTCAGCATAGGCAGCAATGGCAGTACAGAGACACTCACAGTCCCCCCCTGAGTCACAGCTAAAACATACACACAAACAATAATATAGTATGGACTGTTCACATGCCATTAAGTATTACTGCAAGTACACACTTTCAAGATGAATGATGTTGGCAAAATATGAACATTAAAAGATGATCAGGATACTTTAACCATGGAAAATATCCTTAGACCCTTTCTGTTCAAGAGAGACAGTTTTTTTAACCTCTAGTGGCAATATCTGTGTAACAGCAGCATGTAAAGAAGCACGTGCATGCCATATATAAGAGAAGGAAAAATACAGGTTTCTGCTGATTGAGCGGCAGTAATGCATATTCCCAGTTGGTGGCAGAAATGGACCACAAATGGTACCAATATACCAATAAAAGACGAGAAGAAGATAAATACCAGTTTGAATCTTAACAATGTAGGTTTCAAAACATTTAATATGTATCTTATTTTGGTGAGACAGGCTAAATGTACACACAACAAGCTCACGAGACTATAGCAAAATACTGTCCATAAGCAGATTTCTCAATCAATCTGTTAGGGGTTATGAAGAATAAGTAAGAAACATATTTTTGTATTTTTTTTCCACAGAGCACTCATACTGTACATAGTAGATTCAACATTTTAAAGATTACATTTTGAGACAGTCAGTGTAGATTAGTGGTGTCACTCACCCACAAGCATCAAAGACACACCAGTCATAATACTGCTGGAAGGGCACCTCGGGGTGGCACCGAGAGAAGAGCTCCTGCGTCAGGACTGCGCATCTTTTCCTGGCCCAGGTCACCCTGTGGGGGTTTAGCTGGACAAGATAAAGAGAGACATGGTAGTTTGCGTTTGTCAATGTCCAAGTAAGTATAAGTAGGTTTAATGTTCCTGCAATTGTCAGTATGTGTTTGAATGTGTCTGTATTGAACTCACAGCACAGGGGTCTCGGAGGTCCTGGTCTGCCACGTCAGGGCAGGAAGGGCTGACCTTCCAGGAGTTTCCAAACAGCTCGGCCGTAGACTCCACGATGCCCTGCCGTGTCGTAAAGTCATTCTCTGTGTCCCCATCGAAGTTACCACACAGGCCCCCGACCCGACCCCGCAGGTGGGCCGCCAGACGCACATACAAACGCATACCTGTGTGCATATGGAATGACAACCACATTACCACTGATTTGTTAGTTAACCTGTGTCTACAGCCACACACGTAAGCTATGCTTGGAGAACTATTTGCCTCTACAGTAAATTCTGTTTTTGGCGGTAATAAAAAGAAAAAACATGTCTTGTCATAGTGATATACTATGAGTATGTTTTTTTTTTAAGTAAATTACCATAGACAAACAAGGGACAGTCTACAGAGACACCTGACCTACCTCCATCCCATAGCAGAGTGACCCCTAGTCGGGAGGAAAGGGAGACAAACAGGCCGACTCTTTCCAAAGTCAGACCACTGCCACTGTAAGACTTTGGCAGACTGACTGGCATCCCATTTACTGTCACAGCTTTACCTAAACAATGGAGACAAGACGGTATACCTCAAGCGACTATTTCCTAAAACATGTGGTGCCTATGTAGCTCAACTTCCAATCGACAGCTTCTGCTTCCCCCATAATACCACCCGCCTACCTCTTAGCAGATGTATGACAGTATTTCCCAGGCTCAGGGTGACCGACTTTGTGCAGGTGACCCCAGTGCTCCCACAGGGCACGTTCTCTGCCGTGACGCTGAACAAACCGCTGGTCTCCCTCGCCAGCACGTACTGGCAGTCGCCCAGGAAAGAGTAACAGCGGCCGTCGAATGTCACATAGTGTGGGTCACCGGTTGCCACGCACACACCGGCACAGGCGGACTGGCTGCAGTGCCAGCGGCGCTCCTTACACACACTGCAGGAATTAAAAAAAAAGAATGGTTGAGATAATTAATCATTAAAAGGATGCGGTTTAATGAGACAGCATACATTACCATGTGTTGCAGTCTTTAACAATGGTGTCGTTGCTGTAGTAAAGTTGACCATTATGGCGGCACGGGCACTCATCTGGCTGAACACAGTGATCACCCTGCGGTAAACCGGAGAAGACATAGCATGTAATAGTCAAAGCTCACAGACACACTTAAACCTTTTTAGTGGGTTTTTTTATGTTGTATAACCTATTGAATGTCATTTAAAGGTGAGATACATGAGCTAGTGTCAGGCTTGGTTCCGACTCATTTCTTGTGTAAGCTGAGGGTTTGCATGAAAACAAATTTTATTCCTACAAATGTGTCTGTCTGTTATGATGAAATATTTTATTTCATCTTTGATTTTTCATTTTCTATTTATGCTTCTTGACTTGCAGTACTTGCTTTTTATCTTTCTTTGTATTGTTTTTTTGTATGTACTTACTTGCCTATGTTTATTATGCACTAAACACCAAGCCAATTATTTGCATGTGAAAACCCACTCTGTAGTAAATCTGATTCTGACCAAAAAGCGAAGACTCGATTAAGGTACCATTGACACTGAAGGTACAATATCATGTGCATTTTGTAGGATAGTTCTGAGCCATGTTAAAACTTATAGTATGGTACAATGCAGCAGAAAGAATCTGCAGACCTAGCTCTATCAACATTTTTTTTAAAAATCACATTTTATCAGCTTAATATTAGCATGCTAACACTCAAAGCTACTCCCTACTCTAATGAGTAGTGAATTATGCTAAATAATTATGTGAAATGTGAACGGCGCTGCTAGTAAAGACAAGCAGTCTTAGCATTTTTAGCTGTTGTTTTTTTTTTTTTTACAGTCACAACTATTGTTTTGGTTCCACCTCACTGCTCTATCAAACTCATTAGCACGTTAGCTACATTAGCTACCTGCTAGTCCAAACGTTAAACATACCAAATTAGCTACTAGCTAGCTAACTATATATATATATATATA